CTCGTGCAATCTCGGGCAATCTCGTGCAATCTCGGGTAATCTCGGGCAATCTCGGGCAATCTCGGGCAATCTCGGGCTATCTCGGGCAATCTCGTGCAATCTCGGGCAATCTCGGGCAATCTCGTGCAATCTCGGGCAATCTCGGGCAATCTCGGGCAATCTCAGGCAATCTCGTGCAATCCCGTGCAATCTCGGGTAATCTCGTGCAGACGTAATCTCGTGCAATCTCGTGCAATCTCGGGTAATCTCGTGCAATCTCGGGTAATCTCGTGCAATCTCGCCCGCAGGAGCCGTACTCTTCGGCGATCGACATCTGGTCGTAATCTCGTGCAATCTCGGGTAATCTCGTGCAATCTCGCCCGCAGGAGCCGTACTCTTCGGCGATCGACATCTGGTCGGCCGGCTGTATCTACAAGGAGCTGCTCGAGCTAACGCCCGGCTCGCCGCCTCCGAGATATGGGGAGATATGGGGGGATGTGGGGAGATACGCCCGGCTCGCGCCTCCGGACCGGATTCGTATTGAGAATCAATCCCAAGAGGAGTGAGTGGCGAGTTCATTGGTACTTCGGCTCTCGCTTCCGGACCGGAGTACGTAGATCTATTAAGAGCTCATACCCGGGAGAGAGAGAGGAGTTCCTCGGCACGTAGGCTCTCGCTTCCGGACCGGCGCCCTCTTCCCCGGTCGGTACTGCATCCCGTTCTCGTTCGACGACGCCGACGAGCAGGTGCATCTCCCCGCATCTCCCCATATCTCCCCACGTCTCCCCACATCTCCCCACACCTCCCCACATCTCCCCACATCTCCCCATATCTCCCCACGTCTCCCCACATCTCCCCACATCTCCCCACATCTCCCCACATCTCCCCACATCTCCCCATATCTCCCACAGGTGCGGCACCGACATGACCAGCTCGCCGTCATCTGCCGCACTCTCGCGCCGCCGACCGTCTCCGAGTTCGGCTGGGCGAGCGCCACGTCGCGCGCCGAGGTGGAGCGAGTGTGCCGCGGCTGGTCAAGTCTAGAGGCGGAGGGGCGCGAGAGGCAGCGGCGGCAGTACCTGACCGAGGCGTGCCCGGTCGCTACCCCGTGCGAGGTGGACTTGCTGGCCATGATAATAATAATAATAATAATAATAATAATAATAATAATAATAATAATAATAATAATAATAATAATAATAATAATAATAATAATAATAATAATAATAATAATAATAATAATAATAACCCGTGCGAGGTGGACTTGCTCGCCTCTCTGCTCGAGCTGGACCCGACCAAACGCCCCGACGCGGCCGCGGCGCTCGAGCACGCCTACTTCGACGCGCTGCCCTCGCGCCCGCCCGTCACGCCGCCGAGCGACGAGAACGAGATCGAGGCCGCCTTCACGTTTGAGCGCGAAAACCTCAACGTCAACGACCTGCGCATCCTCATCGCTAACGACCTCTTCCGCGCGCAGCACACGCCTCTAGACGACGAAAACACATATCTCCCCATACCTCCCCATACCTCCCCATATCTCCCCATATCTCCCCATATCTCCCCATATCTCGTAGGCACACGCCTCGCCCGTCTCGAGGAGGAGGGAGCTGTGAACGGCGTCTCTTCACACTTGCAGCTGTGAACAGGCACACGCCTCGCCCGTCTCGAGGCGGAGGGGGCGAGGTATGACCGGGAAGCATGAGCCTGCGCCCTGCGGGGCGGTCGGGCCGCGGAGGATCGGGCGCGGCCGAGCAGCCAGAGGAAAAGGCTCTCTGTTGGATGGACTGGGACAAGCATGCCACCGCTCGTGCCGATTGGCGGGCGTCGAGGGCGTCGCCGGCCTCTGGCAGAGCCAACTCTCAGAGCCTCTGGGGGTCGCGGCGGATGAAGGGATCCCCACGCGGCGCGGCGGAGGAAAGGTATCAGATAAGGTGAGGTGAGGTAAGGTAAATTTCTCTTTTGAGTCCCTACGCCCTATCTAGCCGGCCTTATCCCGCCCACAGCCTTCGAAAACGCGGCAGCGCCGAGCCGCGGCGGAGTCGCTCCGTAGGTCCGCGTTGAGCCGCACGAGTGCGCCGACCCGTCGCGAGGTGCCTGCGCGGGGGTGATGTCGCGCCGATGGCTGAGTACGTGCGGCGTGAGCGGGCTTTGTGCGAAGGGGCGGCGCGAGAGGTGAGCCGGCGGGCGCGCCGGCGGTCGAGAGTTACCGAACAATTCGACGTGGCGCAGCTCCGCGCCGGCGGGGACGACCGAGCACATGATGTCGGCGGCGGTCACGCGACGAGGGAGAGCCGCAGGAGCCCTCTGAGAGCCAGGCGCGCGAAAGCAGCGATGAGTGGCGCCGCGATCAGCCACCTGTGGGCGGCCACCGGGGTGACGGTCAAGCTCGCGACGGGGTGGATCCTGTGCCTCTCTTATCACTGGTGGGCAGGGTCTGCAGCAGCAGCGCTCAAAAAGAGGGAAAAAAAGCGGCTGCTACTTTGACTGTCGACTCTCTCGACACACCGTTCTCGGCCGCGCTGAAAAGCTGGCTGGTGGTCGCGCGGCGCGTCGGCGCCACTCCGACTGGTCGGGCACCTCGGCTGGGTCCATCAGCACGAGGCCCGCCCCGTCGGGGAGCCCCGCGAGCGCATGTAGCCCCACCCCATGCCCCGCCCCAGATCGCGCTGTTTGGCACGAAAAGACGTGGCGCCAAGGGGGGGGGTCAAGTATCGTACCCTAGACAAAGCCTCCAAACAGCCGTCGACCGACACCTCCAGGTTGGAAGCTGCGCCGCCCTCCCTGCCGCCCGCCACGTACAGCTTGCCATCGAGCACCGCCATGCCGGCAAAGATTCGTGCCGTCGGCATTGGCGCCACAGCTTCCTCCCCCCTCCACTCATTCGTTGACGCGTCGTACCGCTCCTTCGAGCTGATGAGGCGTCCAACGCCGTCTTTGCCACCGATCACGGCCAGGCGCGGCCTCTCGCGCCTCTTCAGCGTCTCCTTCCAGCCGCGGCGCCACGCGCGGCACGTCCCCTTGGCGGCGTGCGCCGTGGTCGGCAGCTGGGCGAGGATGTGCGGGGCGAGGTCCGGCGAGAGAAGGACCTCGGAGAGCACCCACTCGGGCTGTTCCACGAGCCGTGTGGCGTGCTCGTCCGCCACGCGCAGCGCGGCGTCGCTCGCGCCCGCCTGCGCCTCGATGATGGCGCACAGCTGCGCTGGCGAGAGGCCCGCGACGCGGGCGCCGATGCGGTGGGAGGCCATCATCTTGCGGCAAGAGGATTTCCGCTCGCAAGGGTGTGCGGTAAAAAAAAAGATTTTTTGTTCACGCTCTCCCGGCCTCCGCCGGCCCAACCAACAGGCGCTGCCCCAATGTGGCTCTTCCGCGACGAACCCCCTCCACCCTCCCCGCCCGCTCCCTCCGCGCCCACACCGGACCCTCCCACGACGGTGTCCTCCGCCTGCGCTCCTCCTCCGGCAGAGCGGGCGGACGCCATTGACGCGCCGCAGCCGCCTCAGTCGCTTCCCGTGCTCGGCGTGCTGTGCGTTGACCACGGCGGCGCGGCGACGGCGACGACATGCGGCTCCGCCGGCTTCATCCTCGCCTACACCAACACCGGCGTCACCGACTCTGCGCTGCACGCCGTTCGGTCGTCGCGCGAGGGCAGCCGCGAGCGAGAGAAGCGCTCCGCCGGCGTGCGGGCGAAGCTGCGCGCGGCGGTCGAGTCGCTGCAGGCCGCGCACGGCGACGCTCTCCTCGGCATCGCGCGACGATGCCTCTTCGTACTACGGCGAGCAGTTGGTTGATGATCACGAATTGAGTGTTAGGCACCGGCTACGGCGCTCTCTCTTCATACGAAGACTGGGCAGTTGATGAGCAGCTGCATCATTGATAACCAGGCATCGCGTACGACGCCCTCTTTGCTCTCTGCGACTCCGACTCGCTCCTCTCCGCCGTCTCTACCACCGCCGCATCCGCCTCCGCCGCATCCACCGCCGCCACCGCCACCGCCGCCGCCGCCGCCTCCTCCGCCGCCTCCGCCTCCGCCTCCGCCTCCGCCTCCGCCTCCGCCTCCGCCTCCGCCTCCGCCTCGCCTCGCCTCTTTCCGAGCGCACTGCTGCAAGCGCCCGCCGTGCTCGCCGCGCAGCAGCCGCACGAGTCGCTACTGGTCCTCGTCGACACGACCGGCGTCTCTTAATTAATTACTCATTTAATTACTTGATGAATGAGTTACTTAATTAGGTCCTCGTCGACTCGACCGGCGTCGCCCTTGACGCGCCGAGGCACCTTCCAGCAGCCCTCGAGGCATCTTCCGGGAACCTTCCGTAGGCTTCGCGGCTGGCGCGGCGGCGGTGGGCCTGGCGAGTAGAGACCACGCCTGCTATTCACAGCTGCTATTCACAGCTCTGGCGAGTAGAGACCACGCCTGCTATTCACAGCACAAGCCCTCGCCGGGGGCTCGAGCATGCGCAGCGAAAAGCAACGGATCCCCCTGTGAAAAAGTGAGGCGTGGTCTCTACTCGCCAGGCGGTGGGCAGTCAGCCGCTGCTGACTGAGCTGCTCGATCGGGGCCTCTGCCCCTAGAAGCGGAATACGTATTCATGTATCCCAACCAGCACTCGAGAGGACACGTATTCCGCCGTATTCACCCGTATTCCGCTGTATTCACTGTCTTCTTCTCTGTTGTATTCACGCGGTGCTCTGAAGACGCTGCACAGTACCGTATTCGTGCCCTGAGGTTGGCGTATTCAACACGTAGGCCTCTGCCTCCCTCCGCCGTGGCGGGCGAGGCTGGCTGCCGAGGCGCTGGCCGGGTGCTCCGTGTTTGAGTGGGTGGCCGAGGGGAAGGAGGAGGAGGAGGAGGGGGCGGGCGCGGGCAGCGGAGAAGGAGGGGGAGGCGGTGTGCGCGCGTCCCTCCTCGCGAAGGTCTCTTGCCTGCTGCGGTCCCGCTCGCTGCACGCGCCGGTCGGCGGCATACTGCTCGAGTCTGCGCAGCTGTGAACGGCGCCTCCTCACGCCTCTGGCTGTGAGCGCAGGTCGGCGGCATACTGCTCGAGTCTCCGCAGCTGTCGCCGCACGCGGACGCCCTCCGCGCCGCCACCGGCTTGCTTGCTTCTCGACGCCCTCACCCTCGCAGCCCTACACTTAATTGATCGCACTCCACATTGGTTAGGTTTGTCTGCTTCTCGACGGACTCACCCTCGCAGCCCCACACTTCATTGATTCCTCCCCACGCCACATCGATTAGGCTTGCCTGTCTTCGACGCCCTCACCCTCGCAGCAAGCTTCGAGCTCGCCGCCGCCCTCCCCGCTCCCGCCTCCGCCCCCGCCTCCGCCTCCGCCTCCGCCTCCGCCTCCGCCTCCGCCCCCTCCGCCTCCGTCCCCTCCTCCGCCTCCCTCGCCGCCTCCGTCGCCTCCGCTGCCTCCGCCTCCGCCGCCGAGGGAGGGGGGGAGGGGGCGGGCGGGTCAGGGGAGGAGGGGGCGGTGGAGGAGCGGCGCTCCCTCGCCGTCGCAGCGGCTGTGAACGGCGTCTCTTCACACCCCTGGCGCTGTGAACAGGAGCGGCGCTCCCTCGCCGTCGCAGCGGGCGACGCGCACTCCGTCACCGTCGCTCTCGAAGAGCCCGCGGTGCTCGAGTATATGCGTTCTCCCCATATCTCCCGCACATCTCCCGACATCTCCCCGTATCTCCCCACATCTCCCCGCATCTCCCCACATCTCCCCACATCTCCCCGCATCTCCCCACATCTCCCCATATCTCCCCACATCTCCCCATATCTTCCCACATCTCCCCACATCTCCACACATCTCCCCGCATCTCCCCACATCTCCCCACATCTCCCCACATCTCCCCGCATCTCCCCGCATCTCCCCCCACCCCCCCACATCTCCCCACACCCCCACACATCTCCCCACATCTCCACACATCTCCCCACCTCTCCCCGCATCTCCCCACATCTCCCGACATCTCCCCACATCTCCCCACATCTCCCCGCATCTCCCCACATCTCCCCACCTCTCCCCGCATCTCCCCACATCTCCCCACATCTCCCCACATCTCCCCACATCTCCCCACATCTCCCGCACATCTCCCGACATCTCCCCGTATCTCAACAGGTGCTCGAGTATGCAGTCTCGACGGCCGCGCGCACTCTTCCTTTCACCGTCTCCTCGGCCTCGGCTGTCCTCGCACGACACGTCGCCTCGCCCTCTGGCGCAGCCGGCCGGCTGGAGCTGTCGGCGGGGGAGGTGCGCCGAGATGGCGCCGAGATACGGCCGAGATCGCCCCGAGATTGCCCGAGATTCCCCGAGGTGGCGGGAGATCGCGGGAGATCGCGGGAGGGAGATGCGCAGAGGACGAGCGCGGCAAGGACCGAGTCCAAGTTAACACACAAGCTGTGGACGCCACCGCAGAGGCAAGTCGCTGATGTGCGCGATGACCCCGAGATCGGCCGAGATTGCGCGAGATTGCGCGAGATTGCATAAGTCGCCGATGCGCGCGATGACCCCGAGATCGGCCGAGATTGCGGCCGAGATCGGCCGAGATTGCGCGAGACTGCGCGAGAGTGCATCCTCCGTTCAAGCGGCCCCACTAGGTCTGCCTCACCGCAATCTCGCGCAATCTCGCGCAATCTCCCCTAGGTCTGCGTCACCCTGGACAATTCCGCCTCGTGGCTACGCGCGTCGCGTCCCTCCCTCGCCCTCCGCTGCGGCGAGCGGCGTCTCTTCACAGCCCTGGCGCTGTAAGCAGGAGCGTCGCATGCCACTCTCTCCCTCCGCTGCGTGGCCGTCGGAAGCGCCGGCGCTGCGGCGGAGCGCGCCGCCGCCGCCGAGCGGCAGCTGCGCGCGGGGAGACAGGCGCGGCTGCAGGCGAGGGCCAACGCCGAGGGTGGGGGGGCGGCGCGCTGACGGCAGAGACGCCGGCGGTCCCCCTGGCGTTGCTTCGCCGGCACCGAGCTTCCACTTGCCACCGGCACCCTCCGGACCCAGTGACGCGTCACGCCAGTGAGAGGCTGCCCTCGTTGTACGTCGAAGGCTGGAGTCGGATGCGCTATGTCCACGGTGAACGTGTAAACCGCACGAGCAACAACGGTAAAAAGTCTACTTTCTTTACCATGCGCGATGCGATGCTATGCGCCGCCGAGCACTTACAATCAATACCCCCCCCCTCCCCCCCCCGCTCTCTCTCTCCTCTCGGACGCCATCGCCAAAATTGTGCGGCACGCCACACGCAACAGGCTGAAGTTTAGAGCGCAGCCAGATAGCAAGGACGACTCACGCACGGTCGACTAGGCGGTCGATGTTGAATGTGCTGTGTGACTCGACGCGCTAGAAGTGTGTTGCTGGGCCGACGAGGCGAAAGCTGCACAGCGCATCGAAGCCGCCGCTCTCCAGCTCCTCCGGCTCAAACAGGAGCTCCTCCTCCGGCTCCACCGCGCACAGGCAGAACAATCGGTCGTGGGCTATGTCTAGATATGCACAGATGGCGGGCCCGCCCGTCGCGTGGCGTGGACCGTCACGGTCTGCAGGAGGGTGCCGTCGAGGCTAGTGCCATTTCACTCTGACACGCTAATCTTGAAAACTCTCCAACGGAGCTCCGTGTTGCTTCCAGCGCCCTCCCCCGCGCTCCCTGCGGCCATGGCCGATGCTCCTAGGAAGAGAGGTCATCTGGCTACCGCGAGAGCGACCCAACTCGTCGACATCGTCCGATGATGGTGCCGCAAAGTCAGCCTTCGGAGGCTATCGTGGGGTCGAGCCGGCAGTAGCTAGGTCGGTCGGGGTCCCGGGGGTCGATTTTTGGAAGTGAATAGCACGGCATAGAAACTGCAAAACAAGGTGCGTTAGCTCGAACGAAACACATAGGCACCCACATGTGCCGGGAGGTGGTGAGCCCGGGCACTGCGATCAACGAGGCGAAGGCGGAGCCGAGGTTCCGCTTCTACCCGCACGGGCTGGCGCCGGCCGCGGAGCTGCTTCCCCTGGCCCAGTTCTCGTCCACCAACGAGTTCTTGCACCAGGCGCAGCGACGGTACACCTCTGGCGTGCACCATGCTAACTGGCTCGACCTTGCCGAGGAGCTTACCGACGAGGCGCTTCGCAGCGGCGGCCGCAAGGCGCCCTCCAAAGGCAACAAGGTCGGAAGACGCCAGAACCACAAATGCTGGCGAGAGGCGATCCGTTTTGTCGCCGTCAGCCAACCAGGGGCCGGCGCCTTCCTCAACGCCATCCCCATGCGTGATGACATGAAGATGGAGTCCTGGGCGATGCGCGTCACCGTCCAGCGCCGCCTTGGGCTCCCCCTTGATGTCGCCTGCCAGGCGGTGGAGGCAGGCAAGAGGGCACCCAGCGGCCAGCTACACGACGTCCTTGGCGACGCCGCGATGGTTAACCCTCGGTCAAAGCATGCTACAAGACACAAATTTCTACTCAAACGTTTGGTCAAATGCCTCCGCTCGGCGTGGGGCATGATCATCGAGATGGAGCCGACCGCACACCTAAGTTACAGTAATCCAAAACAACCTGACGTGGCGGCGGCAAACATCGGCAGGGGGCACAGGCGCCTCGTTGCCGATTTGAAGCTCACGAGCTCGCTTGCGAGCACGGGCAAGGACACGGCCGGCGACGGAGAGCTCGGCTGGAAGGGGGCCTACGTGCGCTTTGGCAACACGGAGACCGGGCTGCTCAAGTTGGTCAAAGGGCGCGGCAAGTGGTCTCCGTCGGAAGCGACGGCAGCGGCGGTGGCGGGGGAGGAGGAGGAGGCCGAGGAGGAGGGGGAGGAGGGGGAGGAGGAGGATGCCCGGCCGAACTTCAGAGTGGCGGTGCTCCTCAAATACCGCTCAAATGCCCACGATGTTGTGGAGGGGACATATGCTGATGATCCTTGCCCGATTGGTTCGCTCAGAAAGCTTCTGGGCGGTCGCTAAGGTTCGCTCCCCGCACACGGGCCCCGGAATAAGATACATCATAACACGGACGCAGGCTTGCCGTTGGCGACGTCGGTTATCAGAGGGGTCAGGTCATAGTGACGCGCTCGATGGGATGCTGCATTGACGCAGACAGCAAAAGTATCGCAGCGGAGACCTTCTCATGAGTGGCGGCTCGCACCATGCGGCAGTGCGGACACCAGGTGCGCGAATTTAAGAGCCATTTTCGATTCCGTGGTTTTGGCACTGTCTACCAACTTTATGGTACAAATCGACTTGGTCTGGGCACAGCTGAGCCCTGCGCTGAGGTTTGCCTCCATTCTGAAAGTGTACGTAGAAGGGAAGGCAGCATGCCAGGTTTGCGAACTCCGCTGTGCGCCGAAAAGCGGTATGGCGCCGAGGAGAAGCCATTTTCTTATCCAAAATTTTCTTCGTCCTGCGCGCCCAACCATGGTGCATGGATGGCGGGCACATCTCAGAAGCACTCGTGCGGCTGCGCATTGTTTGTATTTTCTCTTCTCTACGAGCCGGCGAGTGGAAATCGCAGATAGCTGCATCGAGATCACATATTATCGAGATCACTCGAGAGATATCAGTTATCACTCTCGAGACACGAGAGATCACGCAAAGGTAAATCATGGTCCTACGTCGCTCAGAGGTAGAGGTAAAGGGCCCACGGCTGCCCAGAGGTAAAGGTAAGAGGGCCGCAGGCCCTCAGAGGTAGAGGTAACCTAGACCCCTCCTACCCGGCCCTCAGGGCCGAGCATTGATTGTGACGAAGGGTGCGCGCGGCCGCGGCGCGCCCGCCATGGTTCGGCGCGGCGCGCCTACCAGCGGCAATTGTCGAGGCACGGGAACGCTTACCCGGGGTCATCCTCTGAGCCTGGTCGTCGGCGCCGCGATGCCACGGCGGCGCATTCGACGTCGTCGGCGCGCTGCCCCGCGTTGAGCCCCGCCGCTCGTAGCGACGGCCGCAGGTCGGCCCGGTGCAGCGCGCCCTGGCCGCAGACTGAAGAACGGCCACGAGGGGTGTGTGCGGTCGCCGCTCCGTCAGCGCCGTTGCCGCGTCGTCACCCGCCGTAGCTTCTCCTCCGCCGCCGCTGCCCGCCCCCGAGAGTGCGGCGGCGGTGTGAGTGGTATAGTGCAAGGGAGGCGTGTGTGCGTGTCTGCCGCAGATCGCTGCCGTTGTCTGCGCCGCGATCCGCCGCCGCGCCGCCGCGCCGCCGCCGCCTGCGCTCGCCGCCGTCTCGTAGACGACGCCTCTCGCGCTCAAAGAGCCACGCAGCGGGCCGTGAGGTTGAGGTCAGAGAGCAGCAGGGTTGAGATCACAAAATCGGCCAATTTTGAGGTTGCTCGAGAGTGAGAGCCTGGAAATGGTCCCGCGCCGTAGCCCCGGTGCCGGCGCATCACGTCTCAGCCGCGAGGGGCCGGTTCTGCCGCGCAGTCGAGCAGCAGGAGCTCGGGGGCAACTTTGTCGACAAACATGTTGAGCAAAATTTCGGCGAAGAAGCGGCAGGCCACTGGCGGCACGCCGGGACGAACCCGGACCGGTCATATCCACGGCGGCGAGCCGCCGCGAGCCCACCGGAGAGTTGGGAGCCGCGGCACTAGACCGCGCCGCCAGCGAGGCGAGAGCTCTCTCTCTCTCTCCTGTCGCGGGTGCAGGCCGCCGTCATTGAGGACCGCCAGTCGAAGACGCTGCTGACCGACGAGACCTTGCAGCGGCTGCGGGCGCTGCGGCAGCGGCAGTGGCAGAAGGCGGCTACAGACTTCAACAAGCGCCAGGACGCAGCAAGTGCGCGAGCCGACGCACCAATCGCAGCATGGCTCGCGGCTCACAAGGAGCGCGTCGCGCTCGGCATGACGACCGACGGTGGGACCACCACCGACCACGGCGACACCGAAGGTATGACCGAGGAGGTTGCGGCCGAGAACGCACCACCGCTGGTGAACGGAAACGGCTACGTTTGGGCCGAGAGCTACGGCGGCCGCCCCGGCTGGGTTCTCTGCATAGAGTAGGGCCCTCTGCAAGGGGCCCCTCCAATCTCCTGCCCCACCGCTTGGTAGCAGGTCGCATCGACGGGTGGCCTTGCCTCCCACATCGATGCGGGCGTAGGGTTGAGTTGAGTAGTGCGTCATCTTGAGGAACGCTAGACTCGACTCCCTCTCGGAGATCGACGCCGCCCGACCGCCGGAGATCACCGGAGATCACCCGAGATCACCCGAGATCACCGGAGGTCTCGATGTCGCGGCGACGACGATCTCGACGGGGCCCTGGCGTGGTTGGGCGTTGTGCCTCCCCACGCCCTGGGACAGACAACACATGCCAGGGCCCACAGACACATCACGACACACATGAACAGAACACGCTGCGTGACGAAAGCGGGGGAGTGAGACTAGTCGTCTCCTCAAGTCGTCTCTCCACTGAGACCCATGAATAAAGAGAGCTCAATCAGCTCTGAGCCATGAATATCGCCAGGAAGAGGGCGGGTGGGGGCGATTGAATCATGGCGCGCGAGGCGCGCTGGCTCCATGGCAGCACGTTGAAGCAGAGCAGGTGGGGACGAGGACGCGCATGAGGACGCGTCGCCTCTCTGCTGTGAATAGAGGGAGAGTGCTGCAGCGTTGGAACCGAAGCTCGGCGCCTCGCCCTCAGCAGAGCGGGCGAGAAAAGCTGAAGCTGTTCGCGCCACCTCTGCAAGGGGCCCCTCCAATCTCCTGCCCCACCGCTTGGTAGCAGGTCGCATCGACGGGTGGCCTTGCCTCCCACATCGATGCGGGCGTAGGGTTGAGTTGAGTAGTGCGTCATCTTGAGGAACGCTAGACTCGACTCCCTCTCGGAGATCGACGCCGCCCGACCGCCGAAGATCACCGGAGATCACCCGAGATCACCCGAGATCACCGGAGGTCTCGATGTCGCGGCGACGACGATCTCGACGGGGCCCTGGCGTGGTTGGGCGTTGTGCCTCCCCACGTCTCGGACTTCGACAGCTTGACGACGTGGTCGAGCCCGGTACGGCACAGCACAGCGCCCCCACGCGAGAACCGTAGTCAATCAGTCCACGAGCGGCCCGCGTAGAACGACGCCGACAGTGCATCTGGTGCGAGGCCTCCCCGGCCGTCGCTGCGCCTGCGCGAGCCGCTCTCGCGAGGCTTGTGCACATGAGTGCTCCGGTGCAACCGAGGCGCGGCGGCCAGAATACCACGCCGTCCGACCTCATCGGGAGGCGCAGGCGCGCAGCACCCGGACGCGGCGAGCAGTGTCGCCCGACCCGGAGCGACACTGCGGCACTGTCGCCCGACCCGGAGCGACAGCACCCTTCTGGCTGGAATACGACGCGAGCCGACTCAGTCGTCGAGGCACCGTCGCTCCCCGAAGGGACCCTGACAGTACCTCGAGACAGTACCCTTCGAACCGTCGCTCCCCGTAGGGACCCTGACAGTACGGCACCGTCTCGAGGCACCGTCGCTCCCCGAAGGGACCCTGACAGTACCTCGAGACAGTACCCTTCGAACCGTCGCTCCCAGTAGGGACCCCGACAGTACCTTAGGCGGCGGCGGCTCTGCTGGCGCGCCACACGCCTTGCTAAAGTCTCGACGGCGTGATGATCGACATCAGTTCACGCGGACCACGTCGAGCCCATGTCCAACATCTCGCTCGAGACCGCCCGAGATCACCGAGATCTCGATCTCGCCCCGAGGTTAAGGAGAGTAGGCGGCGGCGGCGATGCCAGCGCGCCGCAAGAGTCGACGCTCTTCTCGATGGAGAGCTAGTCGAGATATGCTCTGGCGAGGCGACAGCACATCCAGCTACCCGCCCGCCACGCCGCCGACGAGGCGGCGCACGAGACGACGCTCTTCTCGATGTAGAGCGAGTCGAGATATGCTCTGGCGAGGCGACAGCACATCCAGCTGCCCGCCCGCCACGCCGCCGACGAGGCGGCGCACGAGACGACACTCTTCTCGAAGTAGAGCTAGTCGAGATATGCTCTGGCGGGGCGACAGCAGATCCAGCAGCCCGCCCGCCACGCCGCCGACGAGGCGGCGCACGAGACGGCGCTCTTCTCGATGAAGAGCTAGTCGAGATATGCTCCGGCGAGGCGACAGCAGATCCAGCAGCCCGCCCGCCACGCCGCCGACGAGGCGGCGCACGAGACGACGCTCTTCTCGATGGAGAGCTAGTCGAGATATGCTCTGGCGAGGCGACAGCAGATCCAGCTGCTCGCCCGCCACGCCGCCGACGAGGCGGCGCACGAGACGACGCTCTTCTCGATGTAGAGCGAGTCGAGATATGCTCTGGCGAGGCGACAGCAGATCCAGCTGCCCGCCCGCCACGCCGCCGACGAGGCGGCGCACGAGACGACGCTCTAGCCGATGTAGAGCGAGTCGAGATATGCTCTGGCGAGGCGACGGCACATCTAGCCGCCCGCCCGCCACGCCGCCGACGAGGCGGCGCACGAGACGACGCTCTAGCCGATGTAGAGCGAGTCGAGATATACTCTGGCGAGGCGACAGCACATCCAGCTGCTCGCCCGCCACGCCGCCGACGAGACGGCGCACGAGTCGACGCTCTAGCCGATGTAGAGCGAGTCGAGATATACTCTGGCGAGGCGACAGCAGATCCAGCTGCCCGCCTGCCACGCCGCCGACGAGGCGGCGCACGAGACGACGCTCTTCTCGATGGAGAGCGAGTCGAGATATGCTCTGGCGAGGCGACAGCAGATCCAGCTGCTCGCCCGCCACGCCGCCGACGAGGCGGCGCACGAGACGACGCTCTTCTCGATGGAGAGCGAGTCGAGATATGCTCTGGCGAGGCGACAGCAGATCCAGCTGCTCGCCCGCCACGCCGCCGACGAGGCGGCGCACGAGACGACGCTCTTCTCGATGGAGAGCTAGTCGAGATATGCTCTGGCGAGGCGACAGCAGATCCAGCTGCCCGCCCGCCCCGCCGCCGACGACGCGGCGCCCGCGACGACTTTCTTCTCGATGTAGAGCTAGTCGAGATATACTCTGGCGGGGCGACAGCAGTTCAAGCTGCCCGCCAGCAGTTGACTGGTATCAGCAGTCGAGTCGCAATCCGGTGGATCGGCAGAGTCAGGGCGGGTTCTGCACCCAGGACCTCGCCCGTTACCTGCGTCAACCCTAGACGCTCTCGCTGCTATATTTGCTGTGCGTCGCGCGTCCCATCGCGCGACCGCTTGCTGCTATGCTCATACCCACGAAGGCAAATCCGTGATGCCATTCCGGAAGCAGCAAGCTCGGTCAATTCCCAGCGATCGCCCGACGCAGATCGGCCGCTGGACCGGCAGTTCCAGCTTCGTCTGTGTATTGCGTGTCGCTGCTTCATTCTGCAGTGATACGCTGGACGGCCACACCAAGACTGTCCATCCCGACCACAAACACGGTCCATCGGGCTGGTCCATACGGCGGCGGCGCTTTGCGCATCCAGCCGGTGTGCACGAGATTCACGGATCCGCCGTGGAGACTGTGCGCTATCCACCAGCCGCTGAATGGCTGTACGGGCTGTTCGAGCCGACAGAACAACGACAACTGAATGCGGAAACTGAATGCTCGGCGCCAATGCTCTGATCTGTGCAGCGCCTGCGCGTGCCGCCGCACAGCGGCCACGGACCGTTGCGGTCCACAGCGCTCCGGCCATGGCGATTGAATCATGGCGCGAGGCGCGCTGGCTCCATGGCAGCACGTTGAAGCAGAGCAGGTGGGGACGAGGACGCGCGTGAGGACGCGTCGCCTCTCTGCTGTGAATAGAGGGAGAGTGCTGCAGCGTTGGAACCGAAGCTCGGCGCCTCGCCCTCAGCAGAGCGGGCGAGAAAAGCTGAAGCTGTTCGCGCCACAGGAGCCGCCGGCGTCAGGCGTGCGAGGCCCGGCTCTTGCGCACAGAAGCGAGCGGAGCGAGCCGAAGAGAAAATTTGAGGCGTACTTGCATGTAGAGCTCTACGTCCCTGTCTTGACTCTTGAGCTTTTGACAGCAGGACACGAGTGTCACAGTCGGCACGTATTCCGTTCCGCGCGTGCCCCGCTGAATACAAATACCGTTCGGCTGATTTATAAGATCCGCGAGACCTCGAGAGAGTAGTGCCGAAGGCGCTCTTTTTGATCGAGGCGGGGCGTTCGGCTGGCTTCCTCGGTGTCCTCTTCATATAGATATCCAAAAGCGCGCGTCACATTCCCCTCGACGTCGCCGACGGTCCACAGGTCCAACCCTCGCCTTTCCCGTTCCGCTCGCGCTTGCCCCGCCGCGTCGACGCACATATGGCCGCGGCGAGCTGCACGCCCGAGCGGCGCGACGCATCTCGCTCGCGCAACCCGCCGCTCCCACCATGCGATGCGCTTCGCTCTGGCGCACGAGCGTAATCTGCTACGCCCCTCTCGGCCTCACAATGCCTGCCACCTCCCGTTCGCAGGTGAGGCTGCTGCCATCGAGGAGCCGCGAGACGCGGCCGCTGCAGCTCGTTTCCCACCCTTACACCGAGCGAACCCGCCCGATAGCCCCCACTCTTTTCCGGCGAGAGAGCGACGCAGCCCGCTCGCTTGCCAATCGCTGCCCGGCTCCAGTCCGAGCGCCGAGGACACGAGAGAGTGTGCCGTTGTCGCGACGCTAACGCCGCGGCGTGCTGCCCGTAGGTGCTTTCTGCCGGCCAACGCCCGCTCGCTCGCTCGCCGCCCGGCTCCAGTCCGAGCGCCGTGGACGCGTGAGAGTGTGTCGGCAGCTATCACGTTGTCGTTGCGACGCTCACGCCGCGGCGTGCTGCCCGTAGGCGCAGCTCTACTCTCTCAGGCTCGAACCTTCCCGGTCAAGTCAAGAAGCCCAGTCTCCTCTCCTGCTGCGGCACGCGGGCGCGTTGATTTCTTTCTGTCTTTTTAGGCGAGGTCGCCCGAGATTGCCCGAGATTTTCTCATATGCCTTCCCGGTCAACAAGCTTGCGTTAGTCCTGCATCGCGCAGCAGACGCTTTGATTTCCTTTTCTGTCTTTTTAGGCGAGGTTGCCCGAGTTTGCCCGAGATTTCCTTCATAGCCCGCATGATCCCTCATAAACAAAGGACATCTTCTTTGACTCTCTTTCACACGGTTGTGATCGCGTAGGCGTGTTCCTTCCGCTGCGCTGCCGCTGCGCGCGCAGAGGTTCCGAGATCAACCCGAGACCCCAGCCGAGACCGACACAGGATTGCGTAAATACGCCCTCACTCATTAACGCGGAACGCTCTCCCGTCTATTAGGGACTAATCACAATTTAGTCACACGTGTCAAGTCTGTGGCAGTTAGCCATTCTCAGTAACAGGGCGCCTATGACTAATTACTATTTAATCATTCATTCTCACTCATTCAAAAGCCGCGGCTGTGGAAAAATGTCATTCAATTTCACTCGTCATTGACAGGTTGCGCTCGTGCGCCTATGACTACTTCCTACTTAATCATTCGTTCTCACCCATTAACAGGGTACACTCTCCACGCACATCTCATGCGCCGATGCCGAGTTACTTAGTCATTCATTTTCACTCGTTCACAAACTTCGGCTGAATGAGTGGTAGTTACTCATTCATGCACTCGTGCCGATGGCTAATTTCTACAGGCACTCATTCTCAGCCGATCACACATGGTACGCCCTCCACGTCTCGTGCGCCTGTGAGTTCTAAGTACCAAGATGGCGCTGGCTGGCCTCTTCAACCTGATCATTGCCTGAGAGCTTCCCCGAGATCATCATAGTACTCAGTCCGCAGTCGTTTATCTGCAGTAATCGACCGTACTAGCGTGAAATCTAATCGACCGTACTCGCGTGATATGCAGTAGTCGATAGTAAGAATGCGCAATCTGCAGAAGTTGGTGCAGCAGCTGCAGCGCTGTACTGGGCGCCTCAATCTTAATAATTCATATTTGATGGTTGCTTTTATGGTTGCTTTTATGTGCTCTGCAGGACGCGCGCCGAGAGAGGCGCTACATGGTCGACTTCAATGAGAGCGAGGGCGAGTCGGCTTTCTTGGTTGTGAGATCAACAAAGGGGGTCTGGTTCGACAACCCCCACGTGTTCCATCGGAGCCTCGCAAAGGTGCCAATCAGCTTTTGTTTCGCGGAGGGGGCCCAGGTTCAGACCGAGCTCGGGCCAACGGCTTCCGTCAAGGTCGGTGGCTACTTCGCTTCCAGTGCGGAGTATGAGGAGTGGTATCAGCGCCGCCGCGCGAGCCTGACGCTGCCGCCTTCGCTCGGAGCTGAGGTGCGCACGCGCACGCCAGGCTCGGCATTGTCCCTGCGGCGTCCCCGTCTCCAAACATTTACATTTACGTTTCTCCCTCACGCAGGCGTGCGGCGTCAACGACGACGTCGTCGTGAAGGAGGAGGCCGTCGCCGGGGAAGCCGCCTCCGACGAGGCCGTCGTCGCCGAGGAGTCCGCCGCCGAGGAGGCGACCACCAAGTCCACCGCCACCGAGGTGTCCGCCAGCGCGGAGGCAGTCGCCGAGGAGGCGCCCGTCGCCGAGGAGGTCGTCGCCGAGGAGGCTGCCAAGGAGGTCGAGAAGCCGGCCAAGACCGTTTCCAACACGCCCGACCCAACGGTGAGCGCGCCGCAGTGTTTTGTCCTGGCACTCCTTGCTTTCCACCCACCCGTATTAATCTCTCTCCCGTGTACCCCGCAGGAGCGGGCCGACCGGTCAATGGTCGTGGAGGACAGCTTCTACGCCTCCAAGCCGGTGTTTCTGACCAGCGTCGAGATCAGCCGATGACTGCCGTTGCTCACGCCGCCCCTCAGGCAATGTGCTGCTGATAGGCCTACACCATCTCTCCGCCGAACGAGCCCCTGGAGCAGGTCTCCTACATGCGGCAGGACGCGAGCGTCGAGTGCGGCACCGACGATCACGAGTCGATCAAGAATCTCGCCGTCGGCTTCATCGTCCTCTGGCCGGTCGGCTCGCTGGTCCTCTTCACGTCGCTCCTCGCCGCCTGCTACAAGCCGCTGCAGGCCAAGTCGCCGAACGCTCTGACGCGGGCCACCGCCTTCCTCCACCGGGAGTACGAGAAGACCTGGTACTGGTGGGAGGCGGTCGAGCTGGCGCGCAAGCTCGTGCTCACGGGCTTCGTGCTGCTGATCCCGGAGAAGAACGCCTTCCTTCGCCTCGTGGTGGCGACCCTCGTCTGCTCGTGCTACGCCGTCGTGCTTGCCGTCGTGCGGCCGTACAAGCGGGTCGAGGACAACGTGCTAGCCGTCGCCACAAGCCTCGCGCTCCTCCTCCTCTTCCTCGGCACCAACTGGACCACCATCTTTCTCGGCATCGAGGAGCGGTACCAGGAAGCCGACCCCGCCGATGTCCTCGGCTTTGGCAAGCTCAATGCGATCGTGGACACGATGATCGGCCTCGTCGTTTTTGCGCTCGTGGTCTTCTTAATCGGTGCCGTCGTCGCCGCCCGTCGCGTCGCCAAGGTCCCCACAGTCCGTCTCGTCTCGACCAAGCAGCCCCCCGAGCTGAGCATCGGGACCGGCATCACGTGGCACCTGTTCCTCTCGCACATCTGGTGCGTCGCGCAGCTAGGGAGGGTGATCAAGCCAGGCCGCATTTTACTCCAACCCCCTAACTATGCAGGTCGACCGGTCAAGACGCCGTCGGAAACATTAAGAGTGAGCTCCAGCTTCTGGTGCCGGGCCTCAAGATCTTTCTCGACGCGCGCACAGGCTCAGCCGCGCTGCTTTAGCTACACACAGCCCTTCTGACGCACCGCGGAGTGTGCGCACAGGTAGATGATCTCAAGGATATTGGGTCGCTGGAGGAGTACATCCAGCACTCGCAAATGATCCTCTTCTTCCTCTCGTGTGGCTACTTCCGCTCCAAGGCGCGCTCTCGCCGCCCTGTCCCGCGCTCGGGATCCTCTGGCTCTCAACGCACCCGAGTCTGCTGCGCCCCTCGACACTGTCTCCCCACGGCTCACCGCCCGCCTGCTTGCGTGCCACCAGAACTGCCTCCGCGAGATCCGCTCGTCGCTCGAGCAGAGCAAGCCGATCGTCCTCGTCCAAGAGGCGGACCCTGCAAAGGGCGGCGCGACGTTGCAGGCGCTGCGCGACGAGTGCCCCGAGGACCTGCAGCCCGACATCTTTGAAAAGGGCTGGGCGCACACCATCTACATGCGAATCCAGGAGTTCCAGCGCGTCTCGCTCAAGACCATCATCGAGGCGCAGCGGGACACAGCCGCAGCCCTCTCGCCCCTCCCGAGACCTCAGCCCCGGCACCCTTGAACCACAGGCGGTGCTCCTCTGCTCGCCAAACTACGTGAACCAGAGCTCCCTCCCGCTCTGCGTGCCGGGCGAGCCCGAGAGCCAGTTGCTCGCCTTTGCCAAGGAGACCATGCTCTGGGCCTCGCCGGCCAATGCGGGCGCACAGGTCTTGGCTGACGAGATTGCCACCACTTTTGCCGGTCTCACGATCTCCACCGCCGATGCTCGGCCGGCCACCGTCACGCACATGCTGCTCTACCTCAACGAGGACAGCTTCAGCGACGAGCGGCTGGCCGAGCAGGTCAAGCAGGCGCGCCAGGACAGGCTGAAGATCGTCATGGCGCACGAGAACGACCCGGACCTCGGCGGCTGCCAGTTCTCGAGGTTTTTCGAAGTCACCCCGCAGGAGCGGGCTGGGGTTGGGTCATGATGCACTCGATCTAGGCGCTTAATCGCCCCCCCCCATACGCGTGCCCTTCAGGAGCTCATCGCCGACGGACTCTACAAGGACCTCGCGCGCCCGTGCTTCCCGGGGCGCCACCACCCGGTGCGCGCTTTGTCTCTCTCCACATCTCGCCTTGGCCCTTGCGCACCGGCGGGACTCACCAGCCAGGGCGTTTCGTTCTGCAGGTGTCGCTCGCGCTTCTGGCAAAGGACCTCGGCGCGACTCCCGCTCGGTCGCGGGCGGAGCTCCTCGTCTCGGGCAGCATCGCCGAAGCAGGGGACCTCATTTCCGGTGGCATTGGCGAGGGCAGCACCAGCGTCGCAAGCGTGAGCCGCCTCTCGGCCAGCATCGCCGAGCACGCCAGCCGGCTCTTCCTCAAGATCAGCCGCCGCAGCTCTGCGACGGCAACCACCGCGGGCGACGGCTCTGGAGGCGAGGCGACGGTCTCGGTGGACTCGGTGGAGCCGGCGGCCTCGGCGGAGGCGGCGCAGGAGCATGTCTGACTTTGGCGGCCGCACTCACGGCAGACGCCACAGCACACAGACGCCATCTCTTGAGCAATTCACATGAGCATGAGCAGGGGCGCCAGCGACCCGCCGGGGAGGAGGGGTGGGAGGCGTTTGTGGGAGGCGTTTGCCGCGTCGGCGATCCCCACGGGACGGGGTCCATATCCGCCGCACACTCTCGCAGTGATGGGGGCCTTCGCGCAGCGGTGTGCTGCGCGGCGCGCCTTCCTTCTCTAGAGCGGAGAGGCGTAGTGTGGGGGAAGGAGTTAGGGAGGGGGATGATGCACAGCGAGGCGCCGTGGCCGTAGTTGCCTGCGAGGCGTCTCTCTCGCGCGCGCCGGCCAGCTGGCGGGCGGCCAGCGCTGGGGTCCTAGATTGGGAAGGGTTGAGGCAGAGGGGAGACGAAGAGGGTGCTGCGTGCGCACACCGCGCGTCGTTGCATGTGTGTACTTGAGCGTGCCCCGCGGGAGGTCTCCCACACCTTTTTCGAAAAAGAATTTCAAGAAAAGAAATTTCTGGTGGGTCCGTTGGCCTCTTTGTAGGGAAGAATTTTTCTCGACTATGGTACCCGAGGCGTGCTGTCAGAGGGGTCTGTATCGGTGTATCCGTCACATGCCCGGAAAGTGCTCCAGCAGCGCCGCGGTCAGGCAGCTCGCCCACAGCTCGTGCCCCTTTCGATTGGGGTGCCTGCGGTGGTGAAGCACCGAAGGTCAGGGCGTGAACAGCAAGAGCAACAACACGGTCTCGTGCCGTGAGTTCGCTCCGTGCAAATACGAGGCCTGCGCAGAGAGCGAGGAGAGCGGAATACAGCGGAATACGGCGGAAACAGAGCTGAATACGGCGGTTACGCGGAATACGGCAATGCGGTAGAATACGGCGAAACACAGCTAAAGAGACTGTCCCTCCCTCAAGCCGTGCACGCGTTCCGTCGTCCGCCATCTAGTAGACGCGGAGTTGCGAGGAACGCCCCCCCCCCCCCCCCCTCTGCCCCACCACCTCGTGTGCGCGGAGAAGTTTCCCTTCCCTCCCCTTCCCTTCCCTGCCATCTCGGTTCGACATCTAGGCTGGGGCGCAGCGAGTCTGGCATCAGCTCGCGCTGCACGTCGTGCTCCCCGCGCCGAAACGGGCCGCCGCAATCGACGAACCCGACGCGGCGCGCCGCGTCCGCCTGGAGACACCAAGACAGTATGGGCGAAAAGTAAAAGAAGAAATCGCGCGGCCGCGGCCAGAGACGCGTCCGCCTGCAGCGGGACGGAACGGTGGGCGAAATAAAAGACACGGCGCGTCCCGATGCGGCGAGGCGCGTCCGCCTGCAGTGAAGAAGAACTATGGTGCGAAAAAAGAAATACCGGGCGTCCCGACGCGGCGGAAAGTGTCCGCCTCCGCCCACGATCGAAGGCCAGCGTTGACCTTGGTGATCAACGGGGAGAAGGAGCGGACCGGGCTTCCGTCGGCAGCGCTGCCAACGACTGGCGCCGCCTTCTTGCGCTTGTTTCCGTCGCCGCGCGGCAGCAGCGCGTTCAGCAGCACCCTGCCCTGTGTTTGGTTGAGGAGGGTGCCCGCGACGGCGACCACGCCCGCGACCGTCTCTTCGGGCGTGTGGCCTGTAGGAGAAGAAAGACACGTGGGCGGAAAAGAAAGTGCGCTCGCGGCCACCTCCTCGGAGTGTGTGGCCGCGGCCGAGGTTGTTTGTTCCGATGAGCACCACAAACGCCAGCTGCGGGTCCGACGCCATCGCCGGACTCAGCTCGCCGTCGGCCAGCCGCCTAGACACTTCCGAGACAGTTCCCACACACTTCCGACACACTTCCTAGCTCGCCGTCGGCCAGCCGCCTAGACACTTCCGAGACACTTCCCACACACTTCCGACACACTTCCTAGCTCGCCGTCGGCCAGCCGCCAGAGCAGGTGCTGGGTGTGGTCCGCCTACGAACGGATAGCTCATTCAGCGCCACCTGGTCAGAGGATATGAAGAGGAGGTGGCTGGGTGCTGGTCCGCCGCGATGCCGAGGACAGTCGGCTGCGGCCACCGCGCGCCCAGCGTCGCTTGCAGCACCCCCGGCACGCCCTGGCACCGGCCGAGCTTGCGGCACAGACCCGTGCCGCGCCAGCTCTCGGTGATGCTGTCGCCGAGCAGAGCGATCTGTGGCCGGCCCGTCGCCCGGTACGCGCGCGCATCGTTGACCAGCGTCGCGTGGCACCGCTCCCAAGGGCCCATGAACTCGTTGTGCGGAACCAGTCGAGTCGACCACGCCGTCCGAAGGACAGGAGCGTCCGCCGGCTCCGGAGGCACGCCGCCGCGGTGGTGCTTGGACCGGCGAGCCTTTGCGCGGCTCTTCTGGGCGTGCGCCTTCTGGTGCATCAAGTCCTCGAGCGCGTCGGTCGGCATTTTTGTATTACCCAAAAGCTAGGCTACACAACGCCCTCTATGTTGGGTCAAGGCGGGCGCCTAGAAGAAAGCGCCGCCCCCCGAGGGGGAATCCCACCCGTACCGAGCCCCCGTCGAAGAGCGCGTCGAAAGCGTCGTCGCCTTCGTCGTACTCCTCCGCGTCAAAGCACCGGACCGGCTCCCCCCGGCCGTGCTCCCTTGCCCAGCGCATCTGCCGAACATGCGCACGCTGCTCCTCGCGCGCCCTCTCCTCCGCGGCGCGCGGCGTCCACCCGGTGGACGCCAACAGCGACTCGAGCGTCGCGCGATAAATCGCCTCGCCTTCCTCGCGTGATACCACCTCGCCCGCCTCCTTCGCCACCGCCTTCTTCCCACGCCGCGATAGCTTCTCGCCGCCCTGGCTCGCCAGCGCCGGCGATGCCGTGGCGCGCCCACCGCGCCCGCGCGCCCGCGCCTGAAAGGTAGCCCTGCCGTGCCCGACGTCCCCCCGCGCCCGAAGGATGACCCGCGCCTCCTCCTCCGTCACGGGCGTCTCGCGACCCCCTCGCGCCTGGAGGATAGCCCGGGCCTCCTCGTCCGTCACGGGCATCTGCGTCCTGTGCTGCAGGGCAATCCTCAGCGCCCGGACGCGCTTGTCCTCCTCGGCCGTGGCCGCCGCGCTCGCCTCCGCCGCCCCAGAGCCCCCTCCTGCCACCGCATCCTCCGCGTCCGCGCCGCTGTAAGTAGAATCCGAAGCTCCGGCGGACGCAGCAAGTGGCTGCGAACTGTGCCCGGTGTCGGTATGGCGCGTCGCTGAAGGATCGGCAACAATTAGGGTCTTCGGAGCGCGGCGGCCCGCCTCGGCGGCGGCAGCGGCGCCCTCCACCTCCTCCTCCCCCCCCGCGGCGGCAATCGTCCCATCGCCGCTAGCCGGCAGCGCGGGCGCCACGGGGTCCATATAGGCCCCCGGGGCGCCGCCTCCGGTTCCGCCTTCCGCGGCCTGCGCACTGCAGGCGCCGCTGTCCGCCTCTTTGGGGCGCGCGCCGCCGCGGCCCTCGCCGCCAGCCGCGGCCCCGCCGCCGTGCTCCTCGCCAGCGGAGCCACTCCCAGCTCCGCCGCGGGGGCCGCTTGCGGCAATCGCATGCCCGTCTGCGGCACGCGCGGCACCCTCGGCAGCGTCCGTACCGCCGCCGCCGCCAGCGCGCTCGCCAGCAGCACCATCGCCGCCGGCCATCGCGCTGCCGCCCGCCTGCGCGCCAGTCGCAGCCCCAAGCGGGGGCTCGACCAGAGACAGGGAGGCAAAGGATGACAAAGCCGCCTCAGCCGCGTCGCAGCTGTTCAGGGCCGGCAGGCAGCGGCACAGCTGACGTTGCACGGTCTTGCCGAGGCCGAGCCCCTCGAGGCCGTCCTCGGCGACCGCCTCGAGCAGCGCCGCGACGTTGCCGACGTCCTGGGCCAGCAGCTGCGGCACCACCTTACCGGAGACGAGCGCAGAAACGCGCGCCCGCTCCAGGAGGGCCGCGATATCCTCGTCGAGATCGATGGACGGCCGCGAGGCCGCCATCACCGTGGCGCCCGGCCGCGCGGCCCCGGGCTGCGGGTCTGTGCTCGCCGGCGGCGGTGGAGCGAGAGGGAGCGAGCAGTGTTGGGCGCCACGGCGCACTGAGAGGGCCCTTAGGCGCCATATACCCGGAATCCTATTGCAATAAGAGGGATGCGAGTGTGTGACGCCGCGCGAGCGACGCCGTCCGAGATCGCCCGAGATAGCGCGGCGCGGCCCCGAGATCGCCCGAGATAGCGCGAGATCGCCCGAAATTGCGCGGCGCGGCCCGAGGCGAGGTGGATGGGTTGGGAGCAAGGGGGCGGAAGTGGCCAGTGCGGTAGATGCTAGATCGGTCAGTCGGGGCGCAAGAGGTGGCCTGTGAGCCATCCGGCTTACATTTACCCTGCGTTGTTGAGCCAGGACTCAACATACTCGTTCTGTTGCCGTCCCAAACTGTCACTCCCCTTTCTCCCGGCCGGGGTGGGGCGCGCGCGGGGGGGCGGCGGGTGTGCGGGATGTCTGTGGGCCCGAGAGCGATATGCCATGTCCGCCTTGCGTTTGTTTCATAACATCGAAGGCTAAGCTCAAAATAACAAGGTCTGTCCCGTACCATGCGGAACCGACCCTCGCTATCCAGTGCTCAAGAGGGACTGCTCGACCCCCCCCCGGATCATGCTGAACAAGCTCCTCTTGTAGCTCGATCGGTCACACCGCCATCGCCGTCGGGGAGAGGGGGGACGACACTGCTTCGGCAGCGTGCACCTCGATCCTGTCCAGCCAACTGAGCCCAGGATTAGCCAAGCTGGCCCTAGAGCCAAAACACGTGATTCACCTCTAGAGCTCGCTCTCGCCTCCTCGGAGCCTCAGCCAAAATCTGTCGCTCCAGCGCCGTCGTCCGGGCCCACGACCGGCTCGCCATCTCGATTTCCACTCGCCCGATGCGCTCGGTCTCTGCTGACGGCTGCCGCAAGAGCGGCTGGCTCACGACAGCGTCTTGCCGGTTGTCGGATGGGAGAGTACAGGACGTCTGGAGTGTAACTGTGTACGTGAGATCGGTCTTGGTAACAAGCACAGTCGGTCTATCGAAGCGATGCACTCGTTTCCGTTGCCCTTCGAGCTTGACACACAGAGCTCAGCGCGCCCCGCAAAACAGGAAGAGCCATCCGGCAAGAAGATCTCGATAGGGAGCGAGAACCGTTAGAGGTGCTCCGAGAGGTATCAAGACTCCGTCATGACGCGGTAAGATCACTCCAAAAATGACCGCGCAGATGTCGGATCTCGTTGAGATATCTTGCAAAATCTGCTCTTCCCGAGCCGGCAGCACGCAGAGAGTCGCAGAAAGGCTACGAGTGCTCGACGAGTTTTGAGACCTGCGCGGTCAAACCTGGGGGGAACTGGCCGCACCAGGACGGACGTCCGAAACCTGCGTGAGCACCTTCGACGATTCTCGCTCCCTATCGAGCTCTTCTTGCCGGACGGCTCTTCCTGTGTGTGCCGGCACAGAGCTCCGTGCAAGCCGTCCAGCGTGACGTGACGAGTATATCGCTTCGACGGATCGACCGTGCTTGTTATCAAGACTGATATGACGTACACAGTGACACATCAGACGACACATATTCTCTCACCCGGCGGGCCGCAAAACGCTCTCGACAAGAGAGCCACACAAAGCCACCCGCACGGCAAGCCGCTCGTCGGACAGGCGTGCTCGATCGATGTCGGAGAGCCAAGGACAAGCCCGGAGGGCAGCCACGCAGAGTGGCGCCACTTCTCGAGCGTCGGCTTGCGCCGGAGCGCCGCAGCCAACCGTGCAGCGAGCGAGTCGGACAGACCCCGCTAATCCGCCTCCAGGGTTGACTGGACCGTGTTTGTTATGACCCCCCCCGATGAACACGCCAGTGAGGGTGGGCGAGACGATCGAGGGGTCCCGTACCATGCGGAATCGGCCCTATCCGGTGCTCAAGTGCTCAAGTGCTCAAGTGCTCAAGGTCTGTGAAATCTGTATCTGATACGGTGAAATTGTGCGCGAAACAAGCCGCCGCCGCAAGGGTCGCTCGTGCACTGCCGCGGCGGGTGGGTGGCTCGCCCCTTGGCTTGGTGGCGGCCATGCCTCTCAAGAAGCCGAACCTGCGGCCGCTCGCCATGTCGCTCGAGCGGCAAAACTCGGTGCAGATGTCGGACACCGGCTCGCTCGCGCTCGACAACTTTGTGATCGGCCGCAACGGGATCACGCAATCGCCGCTGCAGCTCGGAGAGCACGACCCGCACCTACGGCTGCAGGACCTCGTGATGCAGCGCCAGCTGGGCCGGGGCATGTCCTCAAAGGTGTACCTGATGGTTCACCGACCGACCGGCAAGCCGGTCGCCGTCAAAGTGCTGCAGTCCAACGCGGAGCAGGACCGCGAGAGCCGCCAGATGGTGCTCAACGAGGTGCGCACCGTCTTCGCCGCCCGGTCCGACCACCTCGTCGCATTCTACGACGCCTTTCACCACGAGGTGTACCGATACCTTCCGAGACACCTCCGAGACACCTCCGAGACACCTCCGAGACACCTCCGAGACACCTCCGAGACACCTCCGAGACACCTCCGAGACACCTCCGAGACACCTCCGAGACACCTCCGAGACACCCCCGAGACACCCCCGAGACATCTCCGAGACACTTTCGAGACACTTCCGCCACGAGGTGTCCCGATTCTGCAACGGCAAACCCTCTCTCTCCCTCCCTCCCTCCCTCCCTCTCTCTCCCTCCCTCCCTCCCTCCCTCCCTGTCCGCACGCACGTTTTTCTTTTTTTAGGGCTGCCTGCACCTCGTTCTCGAGTACTGCGACATGGGCCCGCGCGCCTAGAAGAACAACCACGAGATTGCACGAGATTGCACGAGATTGCGCGAGATTGCACGAGATTGCGCGCCTAACACACTGCGCCGCACGCGTGATCCTACTAGGAGCAGTAGGAGACCACTCTACACTCCCCGCATCCCCGCCCCCTCCCGCCGGCGCACCCACAACGCAGGCTCTCTCGAGGGGCTGTACGAGACGCTGCAGCGGCCGGGCGCTCCTCGGATGAGCGAGCCGGTGCCCATACCCCCACGGTACCCGAACCCCTCCCCTAGCTCTCTCTCTTCTCTCAGCATCTCTAGAGCTCGCTCCCCTCCCCTACCCCCACGGTACCCGCGCGCCTCGGAGGAGCGAGCCGGTGCATCTCCCCATATCTCCCCATATCTCCCCATATCTCCCTATTTCTCCCCATATCTCCCCACATCTCCCCACATCTCCCCACATCTCCCATATCTCCGCATATCTCCCCGTATCTCCCCGCATCTCCCCATATCTCCCCACATCTCCCATATCTCCCCATATCTCCCCGTATCTCCCTACATCTCCCCACATCTCCCCATATCTCCCCACATCTCCCATATCTCCCCATATCTCCCCGTATCTCCCCACATCTCCCCATATCTCCCAGGTGCTGGCGGCGCTGCTGTTTCAGCTGGTGCAAGGGCTGACCTACCTGCACAAGGCGCGATCTGGCCGAGATCTGGCCGAGATCTGGCCGAGATCTGGCCGAGATCTGGCCGAGATCTGGCCGAGATCTGGACGAGATCTGGACGAGATCTGGACGAGATCTGGCCGAGATCTGGACGAGATCTGGACGAGATCTGGCCGAGATCTGGACGAGATCTGGACGAGATCTGGCCGAGATCTGGACGAGATCTGGCCGAGATCTGGCCGAGATCTGGCCGAGATCTGGACGAGATCTGGCCGAGATCTGGCCGAGATCTGGCCGAGATCTGGACGGGATCTGGCCGAGATCTGGCCGAGATCTGGACGAGATCTGGCCGAGATCTGGACGGGATGGACGGCCATTTCTTCAACGGACGGAGTGGGAGAGGCGCGCTGCGCACTCTTCAGTACTCACTGTCGGCAACGGATGGGCCAGGAGAAGCGCGCGGTGCACCGCGACCTCAAGCCGGCCAACGTGCTGCTGACCTCGTCCGGGTGACACCTCCTAGACACTTCCTAGACACTTCCCAGGCAGTTCCTAGACACCTCCTAGACACTTCCTAGACACTTCCCAGGCACTTCCTAGACACTTCCTAGCCGGCCAACGTGCTGCTGACCTCGTCCGGGTGACACCTCCTAGACACTTCCTAGACACTTCCTAGACACTTCCCAGGCAGTTCCTAGACACTTCCTAGCCGGCCAACGTGCTGCTGACCTCGTCCGGGTGACACCTCCTAGACACTTCCTAGACACTTCCCAGGCAGTTCCTAGACACCTCCTAGACACTTCCTAGACACTTCCCAGGCACTTCCTAGACACTTCCTAGCCGGCCAACGTGCTGCTGACCTCGTCCGGGTGACACCTCCTAGACACTTCCTAGACACTTCCTAGACACTTCCCAGGCAGTTCCTAGACACTTCCTAGCCGGCCAACGTGCTGCTGACCTCGTCCGGGTGACACTTCCTAGACACTTCCTAGACACTTCCCAGGCAGTTCCTAGACACTTCCTAGCCGGCCAACGTGCTGCTGACCTCGTCCGGGTGACACTTCCGAGACACTTCCTAGACACTTCCCAGACACTTCCTAGACACTTCCTAGACACTTCCTAGACACTTCCTAGACACTTCCCAGGCAGTTCCTAGACACTTCCTAGCCGGCCAACGTGCTGCTGACCTCGTCCGGGTGACACCTCCTAGACACCTCCTAGACACTTCCCAGGCAGTTCCTAGACACTTCCTAGCCGGCCAACGTGCTGCTGACCTCGTCCGGGTGACACTTCCGAGACACTTCCTAGACACTTCCCAGGCAGTTCCTAGACACTTCCTAGCCGGCCAACGTGCTGCTGACCTCGTCCGGGTGACACTTCCGAGACACTTCCTAGACACTTCCCAGGCAGTTCCTAGACACTTCCTAGCCGGCCAACGTGCTGCTGACCTCGTCCGGGTGACACCTCCTAGACACTTCCTAGACACTTCCCAGGCAGTTCCTAGACACTTCCTAGCCGGCCAACGTGCTGCTGACCTCGTCCGGGTGACACTTCCCAGACACTTCCTAGACACTTCCTAGACACTTCCCAGACACTTCCTAGGCACTTCCGAGGCACTTCCTAGACACCTCCTAGACACCTCCTAGACACTTCCTAGACACTTCCTAGACACTTCCTAGGCACTTCCTAGACACTTCCTAGACACTTCCTAGGCACTTCCTAGACACTCCCTAGACACTTCCTAGACACTTCCCAGGCAGTTCCTAGCCACTTCCTAGGCAGTTCCTAGACACTTCTTAGACACTTCTTAGACACTTCCTAGACACTTCCTAGACACTTCCCAGGCAGTTCCTAGACAGTTCCTAGCCGGCCAACGTGCTGCTGACCTCGTCCGGGTGACACTTCCGAGACACTTCCTAGACACTTCCCAGGCAGTTCCTAGACACTTCCTAGCCGGCCAACGTGCTGCTGACCTCGTCCGGGTGACACTTCCTAGACACTTCCTAGACACTTCCCAGGCAGTTCCTAGACACTTCCTAGCCGGCCAACGTGCTGCTGACCTCGTCCGGGTGACACTTCCTAGACACTTCCTAGACACTTCCCAGGCAGTTCCTAGACACTTCCTAGCCGGCCAACGTGCTGCTGACCTCGTCCGGGTGACACTTCCGAGACACTTCTTAGACACTTCTTAGACACTTCCTAGACACTTCCTAGGCACTTCCTAGACACTTCCCAGGCAGTTCCTAGACACTTCCTAGCCGGCCAACGTGCTGCTGACCTCGTCCGGGTGACACCTCCTAGACACTTCCTAGACACTTCCCAGACACTTCCTAGGCACTTCCTAGCCACTTCTTAGACACTTCTTAGACACTTCCTAGACACTTCCTAGACACTTCCTAGACACTTCCTAGACACTTCTTAGACACTTCTTAGACACTTCCTAGACACTTCCTAGACACTTCCCAGGCAGTTCCTAGACACTTCCTAGCCGGCCAACGTGCTGCTGACCTCGTCCGGGTGACACTTCCTAGACACTTCCTAGACACGTCCCAGGCAGTTCCTAGACACTTCCTAGACACTTCCTAGACACCTCCTAGACACCTCCTAGACACTTCCTAGACACTTCCCAGGCAGTTCCTAGACACTTCCTAGCCGGCCAACGTGCTGCTGACCTCGTCCGGGTGACACTTCCTAGACACTTCCTAGGCAGTTCCCAGGCAGTTCCCAGACACTTCCTAGCCGGCCAACGTGCTGCTGACCTCGTCCGGGTGACACTTCCTAGACACTTCCTAGACACTTCCCAGGCAGTTCCTAGACACTTCCTAGCCGGCCAACGTGCTGCTGACCTCGTCCGGGTGACACTTCCTAGACACTTCCTAGGCACTTCCCAGGCAGTTCCTAGACACTTCCTAGCCGGCCAACGTGCTGCTGACCTCGTCCGGGTTCGTCAAAGCTAGACCCACCCCCCCCTCCGGAGATCTAGGGAGATCGCACCGGACGGCGTACGACATGCGCGGGAGATATAGGGGAGATATAGGGGAGATATGGGGGAGATTTAGGGAGATCGCACCAGATATAGACGGGTAGAAGAGACGGCGAACGACCTACTAACGACTCGTCTTTGGATGCGTCGATTTCTTTTTCCCCGTCCAGGTTCGTCAAGCTCTCTCTGCATCTCCCTGTATCTCCCTATATCTCCCTATATCTCCCCCATATCTCCCAGGTTCGTCAAGCTCTCCGACTTTGGCATCTCGCGCGAGCTCGACGCGACACACGCGATGGCGGCGACGTACTGCGGCGAGATCTAGTCGAGATCTAGCCGAGACACAGCGAGAGACAGCCGACGCGACACACGCGATGGCGGCGACATACGGCACCGCCGCCCACACGCCGCGGGGGGGTCTATGCAGCCATCCTGCAAGAACGAAAGAAAACGGACAACCCCCTGCCACCGCGCCCCACACGGGATTCTTTTTCTTTTTTCCAGGCACCGCCGCCTACATGTCTCCCGAGCGGTCTGCCACCGCACCAGCCACGGAGCCTGAGCCCACGCTGGGTTCGGCTACTCTGGAGGTATGGGACTAGGCTCGTCGACGGCGGCGTGTACGGTTTCCCTTCTGATGTTTGGTCGGTTGGGTTGATTGGCCTTGAGGGGGCGAGAGAGAGCCGAGAGAGAGCCGAGAGAGAGCCGAGAGAGAGCCGAGAGAGAAAAGAGAGAGAGAAAGAGAGAGACAGAGACAGAGAGACAGAGACAGAGAGACCCTGACCCTCACCCTGACCCTGACCCTGACCCTGACCCTCACCCTCACCCTCACCCTCACCCTCACCCTCACCCTCACCCTCACCCTCACCCTCACCCTCACCCTCACCCTCACCCTCACCCTCACCCTCACCCTCACCCTCACCCTCACCCTCACCCTCACCGTCACCCTCACCCTCACCCTCACCCTCACCCTCACCCTCACCGCAGGTCCTCGGCCGCTACCCGTACCCGCACTACACGTCGCACTTTGACCTCGTCAACACGGTCAACCTTCCTAGACACTTCCCAGACACTTCCTAGCCACTTCCTAGACACTTTGACCTCGTCAACACGGTCAACCTTCCTAGACACTTCCCAGACACTTCCTAGCCACTTCCTAGACACTTTGACCTCGTCAACACGGTCAACCTTCCTAGACACTTCCTAGACACTTCCTAGCCACTTCCTAGACACTTTGACCTCGTCGACACGGTCAACCTTCCTAGACACTTCCTAGACACTTCCTAGCCACTTCCTAGACACTTTGACCTCGTCAACACGGTCAACCTTCCTAGACACTTCCCAGACACTTCCTAGCCACTTCCTAGCCACTTTGACCTCGTCAACACGGTCAACCTTCCTAGACACTTCCTAGACACTTCCTAGCCACTTCCTAGACACTTTGACCTCGCCAACACGGTCAACCTTCCTAGACACTTCCCAGACACTTCCTAGCCACTTCCTAGACACTTCCTGGACACTTCCTAGACACTTCCTAGACACTTTGACCTCGTCAACACGGTCGCCAGCAAGCCCCCGGCCCCACGCCCTGATGAATCAACCACACGCTCAATGACTCCGCTCGGCCCTCATTCATGAACCGCTCGCTCAACCCATCAACCAGCTCGGCCCTCTTAGGTCGTCAACGGGCCTCCGCCCACGGCGCGCCCAGAGCTGCAGCAGGTCCTCGCCCCCCCGAGCTCTGACTAGCTAAATATTTAGTTCATTATTGAGATCTCAACTAATGACATATCGCCTAGAGCTGCAGCAGGTCCTCCCCCCCCCCGAGCTGTGACTAGATAAATATTTAGTTCATTATTGATTACTCAACTAATGACATATCGCCCAGAGCTGCAGCAGGTCCTCCCCCCCCCCCGAGCTCTGACTAGATAAATATTTAGTTCATTATTGAGATCTCAACTAATGACAGATCGCCCAGAGCTGCAGCAGGTCCCCCCCCCCCCCAGCTGTGACTAGTTTTAATTAAGTAAGGAATTAAATCGCCCAGAGCTGCAGCAGGTCCTCTCGCCCCCCCCGAGCTGTGACTAGATAAATATTTAGTTCATTATTGATTACTCGACTAATGACATATCGCCCAGAGCTGCAGCAGGTCCCCCCCCCCCGAGCTGTGACGATAAATATTTAGTTCATTATTGATTACTCAACTAATGACATGTCGCTCAGAGCTGCAGCAGGTCCTCTCCCCCCCGAGCTGTGGCGATTAATTAATTAACAGCTTAGTTAACCACTCTCGAGGAGGCAGTGAGTGAGTCAAGTCATCACTGGCCAGGCTCTCTCCTCGGAGCTGTGGCAGCTGCTGCACGCGATGATGGCGACGCGACCCCGCGGCTAGCCGGAAAAAAGAAAACGGCGGCGGCCCAACAGGACGAGGGCTGTGAATAGGCGCGCGACCCCGCGGCGCGGCCGGACGTGTATGCGATTGCGCGATCGCCGTTCATGCTGCGCTCGATGAGCCAACCGGTGCGTGGCCGAGAGGTGGCAGAGGGGTGGCCGAGGGGTGGCAGAGAGGTGGCAGAGGGGAGGCCGAGGGGTGGCAGAGAGGTGGCAGAGGGGAGGCAGAGCGGAGGCAGAGAGGAGGCAGAGAGGAGGCAGAGAGGAGGCAGAGAGGAGGCAGAGAGGAGGCAGAGAGGTGGCAGAGGGGAGGCCGGGAGAGGGCCGAGGGGTGGCCGGGAGATGGCCGAGAGATGGCCGGGAGATGGCCGGGAGATGGCCTGGAGATGGCCGGGAGATGGCCGGGAGTGTGCCAAGAGAGAGCCCACTTTGCTTAGGTCGACTTCGCTGCCTGGCTCCGCGCGGTCGCCTCGCGCGCCGCGTCAGCGTCTCCGCCGCCCGCCGCCGCCGGCTCCGCCGCCGCAGGCAGCGGGGCACGGGCCTTGCCCGACTCGGCCGAGAAGTGTCTCGGAAGTGTCTCGGAAGTGTCTCGGTAGGTAGCGGGGCACAGGCCTTGCCCGACTCGGCCGAGATCTAGGCCGAGGGCGGGTGTAGCCGCGCGGGCGGGCTCGTGGTGACAGCCTCTCGTGGCACCACCTCTCTTCGCTGTGATGGCCCGGACTCGAGCCCCC